TACCGCTCATTTGCATATTCCCCCCGAGTAGAAGAACTCCCAGAACCCCGTCAAACAGGTATCTAGCAGGTACTTACTGACCATCCTGGGAATGTTATCCAGGGGTGCATGCAGCTTGAAGTACAATGAACACCTGGCCAACACACCACACATACAGCTGGCACAGCGACACATGGACCAGACAGGAAATCGAGGCCAGATGTGACTTATGACTCCCAAGCACATCGGACGAGAATCAAGCTGGCAAGTAGCCGGCTCACCTGAGTGGGCTCCCCTTCCTCCTATGAGGTGAGGGATACACCAATGAGCAGGAGTACTAGTTGGAGGCACGGATGCCAGTTTTCGTTATTTTCTGTTTAATTTCTTTCTTTTCATAGGAGTTTCTTTGTGTTTTTGGGCTGTAGGTCACATTTTACTGGCTAGTTGTCTGTATTGGCTCGCCTATCTTTCTGGGTGCCCACCCTAATCGATGGTGGAATACGACATACTGTACTTTAAATGTAGAGTGGTTGTACGCCATTGCTCGCTGCGTCTCTCTGAGCGAACCAGGTTCTGGCGCTGGTTTCCGGTAAGTTTAAAGAACTCCAGTGATTGATTACCCCAAGCCAATATAGCACATATCAGTTTGGTTAGCTTCAGGGAGCTGACGGGGCTTCCCCAGAAAGAGATAATATGATCACTACCAGTACTTACAATAAAATAACAGTTATCAATAAAATTAACAAAGAATTTTAAAACTTCAAGAACTTCAAGAACAAGAGGACATTGGTTCAAACTAAGGAAACAAAGCTACCAAAAAACATAAGAATGTTTACCTTTGCAGAGTGGTAGATGGTAGGAACAAATTGAATGAAAAGATGGTGGAGGCCAATACCGTCAGTACAGTAGTTTCAAAGCGTTATATGACGAAGAGTATTGGGAAGATGGGACACCACGAGCAGACCTCCTCATCCTGTAACTTGGGTAATTACAAAAGAACACCATGAATTCCATGCCACCGCCTTAACAGAAACACGTGGCAATGAACCAAGACTCAGAAGAGCCAGAACCATGGCCAAGCCACCAAAAACTACCCAACAGCAAACGATCCTAGCCTGAACAAGCCAGAAGAAGCAGATATACTGGAAGGAAAACAAAAAAAAATCCCACCAAGGTCAAGACAGTTGAAAACAAGCACCTCAAATGGTTCTTCAGGTAGTTGCTAGGTTCCTCTTTTTCGGTCACTCAGCGAGTTTGCTGTGTTGTGGTTTTTCTGTAGCTTGTGTGTCTTCCTAGTCTCCATACTCCTGTTTTACTATGCCTGTAACATGGTAGTTGTTTTTCTGCCTTACAGGGTGTGTCCTGCTTTCTTACAGACAGTTGCTCACAGTTCTGTCACATCACCCGAGGGTGGGCTATTGTTGCCACCTTTTTCTGTTAGTTTTGTGCTATGTTTGGCTTTCCTCTGGTGGGCTTCTGCACATGCGTTTGATCCTGGTGACATATATATATATGTGGACACCAGTACAAAGTGTACTGAGATATGCCAAAAACCCTACAGACCACAAAATACCACTACCCAACCCAACAAGGCAAAGAAAGGATGAGGGCAAAAAGAAACACGCTTAAGTGTGCAAAAAAACCCACCACAGTAAAAGTAGCGCAGTCAGATCCAGCACCAGATGGTACTTGGGAGCTCAAGAAGAACAGAACTGCCTGATAGGAGGACTGGAAATCCGACTGAAAGCCTCAAGCAAAAACGAACCAAACCATCAAACATGAGCCCGTTAAGTAATTCAGGTCAAACAGGCCTCCCTGGCATGTGGAGGAGGAATTCCCAAACACATCGAACAAGACTCTGGAAAGCAAAGAAATGGAATATTGCCCACAGGAGGTTCCCAAGACAGATAAGGAAGGAAGCAGACAAGGGGCCAAGTCAGTAGAAATATAATCTATACTGTACCTATAAGAAAGAATGTGTGCTCAAAGTAGGCAGCTAGTTGCTTGGGGCCAGCCTCAGGAAACTTTACAGACTAAATGGTCTAGATTCTGGGTAGTATATAGGGTGGTTATGGTTGAGCCCATTTATCACCCCCCTCCTCCTCGCCCTTTACAGGAAATGACAAATTATACTAATTTCCAAACTCGCTTAATAAAAAAATTCCATCCCCACTAAGATTCATTTATCATATTAAATGCTAGTTAGGATGGAAGGTGTTGAAGGTAGTGCTGGAAAGGCAATTATAAGAAACAATAAGAGAAAAAGGCCTGGAAGTTTACATAATCCCAACATTAACACCAAAGGCTCGAGTGAACAGGATAACATCAACATCATATGGGAATTTAGCAAATATATGAATGCATTTAAGAATCTAAACAAGGAGGCTCTGAAGTCCTTACACATTGCCTATGTGAGACCATTACTCGAGAATGCAGCTCCAGCATGGAACCCACACCTTGTGAAGCATAAACAGAATTCATCTTTCTGGCATTCATCTTTCTCAAGATGAATGACTTGAGAAAGTTCAGAGGTTTGCAGTTAGATTAGTTCCAGAATTGAGAGGTCTCAGCTATAAGAACAGATTGAGAGAACTCACCCCTCACAACCTTAAAAGATAGAAGAAACAGGAGGAGATGTTATAAGTACATACAAGATCTTGAGAGGAACAGATGAAGTGGATAAAGGAGTTTTATTTAAATAAAAAAAAGAGGTCGTACAAGAACATTGGTAGAAGCTGAATATGATATGCAATTGGGTTGAAGAGATGTAAGGAACACTATTACACACACAGATCACACTAACGTGATGCATCAATTGATGCATCACGTTTCGAATCCTCGTCACGGCCCTTGTGGATTTGTTCAGATGTAAGGAAGTTCTTGTTCCTTTTATGGGTGGTAAGAAAGTGGAATGCATTGAAGGAAGAGATTGCTAAAACCAATTTCATCTGTAAAAGAAATATGATGAAAATGTTAATATTGAGAGGGGGGGGGGGTAATTAGCACACCAGGTATAAATGGCAAAGGGGTAGGGCATAAAGAGCTAGGTCTCACTTCCCCAGTCACTGATAGGTAAGCACTTGGTAGTGGGGATGTGAACTGCCTAACTAATGTGTATATCATTTTCTGTTATGTTTACTTTTGCCTTGCTGTTGTCCATTTTGTCTCGCTCTACCTTCTTGGCTATTTTCTCGGTTAGAGTGATCTAGTATACTCTGCTCTCTGCATCTCTATGAGGGGCTAGGTTTTGGCCTCTGGTAACTGGTAGGGTTTACATAGCTAACAAGGACCTCGTGCAAATTTGATGTGTTAACAACAGGGAACCACCATGGAACCCTCCTAGAAAGTATTTGTATTTGTATGTAAATACAAGTGTATGTAAATAAGAAGAATGTATAGTACACAGCTGTTTGCGGGATCATGAGAGCCAGCAACAGTGAGAGAATGGGAAGTAATTTTTGCAACAAGAGTTAATGACTCAATGTTAGAGATGTGGTAGATGGACTTCATGTGAATAACTTGCCTTGGAAGTGCATCAATTATTTTAGTAGAAGAGAAGCTTCTTCATATGTGGCCACAATTATCTAAACAAGGATCAAAGAAACTTTTGCAGAAATAACTGGACTTAGATGAGCATTATTCTAAAAAGAAAATTTCTTTGAGTTTACAGAATGTGAATATGTAGTCCTGCAAATAAAATATGTAAATATGTAAAATCCTGCAAGAAAAGTGATAATTTCATCAAATGTAAATTATTGCCCAGTAAAAATAACTGTAGCATGTGTTAATATATATGAAAAAATTTCACATTGTGTATTTAATAATGTGGAGTTTGAGAATTAAAAATAAATAACGTGTAAGGTGTATTGATAAGTAAAAAGAGATAAAAGAAAATAACCTAATGTAGTAGACATTATAGTAACACTGTAGTAGTAGGCATCCTTCAGTCTCGGGAGACTATGGTGTTGTGCTCTGGTTGTCAATCCTGGTGGAGCGTCTGGTTGTCAATCCTGGTGCAGCGTCTGGTTGTCAATCCTGGTGCAGCATCTGGTTGTCAATCCTGGTGCAGCGTCTGGTTGTCAATCCCGGTGCAGCGTCTGGTTGTCAATCCTGGTGCAGCGTCTGGTTGTCAATCCCGGTGCAGCGTCTGGTTGTCAATCCTGGTACAGCGTCTGGTTGTCAATCCCGGTGCAGCGTCTGGTTGTCAATCCCGGTGCAGCATCTGGTTGTCAATCCTGGTGCAGCGTCTGGTTGTCAATCCTGGTGCAGCGTCTGGTTGTCAATCCCGGTGCAGCGTCTGGTTGTCAATCCTGGTGCAGCTTCTGGTTGTCAATCCTGGTGCAGCGTCTGGTTGTCAATCCTGGTGCAGCGTCTGGTTGTCAATCCCGGTGCAGCGTCTGGTTGTCAATCCCGGTGCAGCATCTGGTTGTCAATCCTGGTGCAGCGTCTGGTTGTCAATCCTGGTGCAGCTTCTGGTTGTCAATCCTGGTGCAGCGTCTGGTTGTCAATCCTGGTGCAGCTTCTGGTTGTCAATCCTGGTGCAGCGTCTGGTTGTCAATCCTGGTGCAGTGTCTGGTTGTCAATCCTGGTGCAGCTTCTGGTTGTCAATCCTGGTGCAGCGTCTGGTTGTCAATCCTGGTGCAGCATCTGGTTGTCAATCCTGGTGCAGCGTCTGGTTGTCAATCCTGGTGCAGCTTCTGGTTGTCAATCCTGGTGCAGCGTCTGGTGTGACTGATGAGGCCAATCCCAGAATGGCAGTCCATCCCACACTGCGCACAAACGAAGTCTGATTCTGGTAAGGTAGAGTACCAGAATCAGTACACTGTAGAATACCCACAAAACATTGTCCACTTTGTGAAATTTTGGGAACTGTTCTGTATATCACCACAACAATGTTTGATAAACATTATAACTTTTGTATTTGTATAGACAAAAATGTGCTTCCTATTTTTTAGGAAATTCTGAAGTTATTGTATTGATATTATAATAAGCATTTACTGTAACATTTTATATCATTTCAGATTGATGGTGTGCCAAATATCCCCACAACTTGTCGCCAACGCAACAGCATTGAAGTTCAAATTGGTACCCAAGGTGAAAGTTGTGGCGATAATGCTATGGAGGGAGGCTACCTCCTGGTACCTTCTTCAGTAAACCATATCTCATCTGTTTGACAGTGGCCTTCCTCTAGCCAGGAGGACGAGTCTACAGATGAATGACAGTGACTGACAGAGACTAGTAGCCTCAACTTAAAAATAACCAAGACTACTAGCAACATCCTGAATGAAGCTAAGGCTAGTAACAAGAACCTGAATGAAGCTAAGGCTAGTAACAAGAACCTGAATGAAGCTAAGGCTAGTAACAAGAACCTGAATGAAGCTAAGGCTAGTAACAAGAACCTGAATGAAGCTAAGGCTAGTAACAAGAACCTGAATGAAGCTAAGGCTAGTAACATGAACCTGAATGAAGCTAAGACTAGTGACAAGAACCTGAATGAAGCTAAGGCTAGTAACAAGAACCTGAATGAAGCTAAGGCTAGTAACATGAACCTGAATGAAGCTAAGTCTAGTAACATGAACCTGAATGAAGCTAAGACTAGTAACATGAACCTGAATGAAGCTAAGACTAGTAACATGAACCTGAATGAAGCTAAGACTAGTAACATGAACCTGAATGAAGCTAAGACTAGTAACATGAACCTGAATGAAGCTAAGACTAGTAACATGAACCTGAATGAAGCTAAGACTAGTAACATGAACCTGAATGAAGCTAAGACTAGTAACATGAATGTGAATGAAGCTAAGACAAGTAACAACAACTTGTATGAAGCTAAGGCTAGTAATAATAACAATGAAGCTAGTGGCTATCAGGACATTTAAAACTCTTGTTACAATAAGCAATGTCAGTTTACTGATACATTACCAGTGTGTTTGTGAAGCCAAATGAGTTGATCATTAATAATATAAAGTGTGATTATCTTCATGACATTCATGACGTATAAAAAAAAACTATAATATTGATTAAAGTATAAAAGAATAATATATGCAATTTTATTTATAGTTTTTATCAAATTAATCATCTGATAGTATGCAAATCTGTTCTGTTTTGCACATTGTGATAACTGGTAGGGTAAAGACTTTTTTTAATTCTCCCAGGAATATTCATTTTGCCCAGTCTGCAAGGTGTTCTGTGTGGCATTGATGAATGTATGTACACTACTGTACACCGTACTGTACTGTGCTGTATATGAGTATTTTTCTCATGAAAATTTATGTAATTACCTAAGTAATTACTTAAGTGTAAGAGCTACTCTGGATGAGAACTATGCTCGTGGTGTCCCGTCTTCCCAACACTCTTTGTCTTATAACACTTTGAAACTACTGACGGTTTTGGCCTCCACCACCTTCTTGCTTAACTTGTTCCAACTGTCTACCACTCTGTTTACAAAAGTGAACTTTCTGATCTGTTCTCAGCAGCTTTATTTCCTTAGTTTGAACCTATGTTCTCTAGTTCTTGTAGTTTGTTGCAGTTTTCTGAAATTCTTCTTTGTCAATTGTATCGATTCCTGCTATTATTTTATAAGTAGTGATTATGTCACCTCTTTTTCTTCTATCCTCTAGCTTTGGTATATTTGATGCTTCTAACTTCTCTTTGCAAGTCTTATTTTTCAGTTTTTTTCAGTACCTGAAGTTGAGTGTCTCTAGTGATGTGTTTCTTAAAATATAGGTAATCTTGAGCCATCTTGAGGTTATCCTGAAATGATTTCGGGTCTTAGCGTCCCAGTCCTCGACCAGGCCTTTTTTTTGTTATACACCCCCCCAGGAAACAGCCCGTAGCAGCTGTCTAACTCCCAGGTACCTATTTACTGCTAGGTAACAGGGGCATCAGGGTGAAAGAAACATTTTGCCCATTTTGTCTCTGCCTCCACCGGGGATCGAACCCGGAACCTCAGGACTACGAATTTGAAGTGCTGTCCTCCCAGCTGTCAGGCACCCTGACAGCTGCAGGGCGCCTAGGGCGCCCATGTCGCCCTAGGCACCATATAACGGTTATATATTCCAACTTTGGTCTCATAAAGATCATGAATAATTTTTTTAATATTTTGCCATCCATGTACTTAAAAGTGATTCTTAAGTTGGAAAGTGTAGTATAGTCTCCTCACACAATGTTCTTTAAGTGATCCTCAGGTGACAGTTTTTTTTATCCAGAACCACCCCTAGCTCTCTTTATCAAAATTCTTTTAAAGATTTTCAAATTATTTGCAGGTTGTTTGTGGCCTGTTTTGTATTCCACATTCCATAACATGGCATTTATTCACATTAAATCCCATCTCATAAGTGGTGTTCATACACTTATTTTGTCCAGATCCTCTTGAAAGGCATGACAATAAGTTTCTTATTTTTCCTAGTAGCTTGGCATCATCAGCATTCATGGTAAAGTAATTCTGTATTCCTTCTGGTAGATCATTTACAAAACAATGATCATTACTGATGCTAGAACTGAACTCACTGGTAACACTTATTCAGTCTGATACATTGCCTCTGATTACTGCCTGCATTTTCCTGTCAGAAAAGTTTTCATCCATGTCAGAAGTCTCCCTGTCACTCCTCCAGCATGTTCCAGTTTCCACAACAACCTCTTATATGGACACTGTCAAAAGACTTTTTTAGGTCCAGATGAATGCAGTCAAATCATCTCTTTCCCATAAAATCTCTGTGGCTCTATCATAGAAACTAAGTATTTTTGTCATATAGGGTCTTCCTGATCGAAAACCACATTACCTGTCATTATATAATTTCTCTCTACGTATTCTACCCATTTGGTTTTAATTATTTTTCCAATGTTTTGACTACTGTGCATATCAATGATACAGGTCTATAATTCAGAGGGTCTTCCCTGCTACCATATTTGTAGATTGGAACTATGTTAGCCTTTTTCCGTATACTGTATCTGCCTAGACGCCTTTACACAAAGATAACTGAAAAATCAATTGAAATGGAGTGCTGAGCTCATATACGTTTTCTCAGACACAAGGTGAAACTCTTAGCTCCTTGAGCATTTTTTCCTACTTCATCTCAAGATACCTCAATGCTATGCTATGCTGTGCTATGCTATGCTGTTCTCTGAAATTCATACTGTGTCTGGTTCTCTGAAAATTTCATTTTGAACAAACATACTGGAACTGTTCGTTTAGTGTTCCACTCATTTCTTTTTCATTCTCTGTGAATCTGTTCCCATTTTCAACCTCTGAATATTATCCTTTACCTTCAATTTGCTTTTAATGATTTGATTTAAGGATTTGTATTTCTTAAAACAGTGTCTCATCGAATGTTTATAAGTTCCCTATTTATTTTCTCCCAGTCTATCCTTTTATTATTCAAATTGAATTTATTCTCTTGCTTGATCATTGTGCAAGATACTGATACAAGATACAGTACTGGTATCTCACTACATCTACCAGTAAGTTAGTACAGTATAAAAGATTTTTAGGAAACATGTTTGTTTTCTCCCTTTGTCTTTTATGTCCTTTGCTCAAATGATTTTGTTGTTTTGCTTTTATGTATCTTTCATAGGGTTCCCTGGTCTCCTTAAAAGAAAAAGGAGGAATGATCAGAGACCGGGCCGCAGGAACGTTGACTCCTGAAAACAATGCGAGGTAACTGCAAGGTAACCTTTCCCGATCCCTATCCCCTTTTAGAAAAAAAGAATTTGTTTTCCTCAGTCCCACCCTCATTTAAAAGTTTTGCTTCAGTAAGGTTTAGGTTTAACTTCTCTCTCTCTTCCTTTGAAAGGAATAATCTGAATGAGACTTTATTATTAATTTCCTTCCTGTTAGTTTCTCCTTTTAAACTTCTGGGATTACTAAGCAATTCTGTGATTTGTTTCACTCCATTAAATTGCACCCTTAAGGTGCAATTCTTGTCTTTCTTGTATTTGTCTATCCTCCTAAAATCACAGACATTTTCCTTTAACGTGAGGCCTTCTCCTAAACATACTATTTTCTAAATTACTTTTATCTCTTCTTCTACTCTGTCCACCCTAGATGTTATCTGCTTTTCCAAGAACCCAAAAATGATTATGAACTTTCTTCTATCTACAGTGTATTGTACTAATTTACCTCTTGTGACAAGCTCTTTCCTAATTGCTTGCCTAATTGATTCTTGCTGCTCATTCCTCTTGATTTCCAAACACACTTCTTCGATTGTTTCTTTTTCTTATACAACTTATGCACGTTTCTTTTATTTCCTCTTTATACTTGAGCAATCCCCGAGTAACTTCCTCTGTCCATGAAGTGGACTTCCTCTTGCCGTTGAGAAATGTTTCTTTCAATTGTAAGAAGTTTTCCTTCATAAATATTTATCAAATTCTAAATTTTCACTAACCTGCCCATAAGATCTCCATTTCTTTCCTCAGTAAATCCCTTAACATTTGTGAGACGTGATGATCAGCGTCCGTGGAGGCAGCCATCTTGTTTGTTTGGATTATTTGCTCGAGTCTGGCACCTCCCCAAATTTGTATATTTGTTACAGACAATCGCCATTCCACTTTCTATAACTTGATCCTGGAATGCTTAAAATAGTAGGGACACCACTGGCTGACCTCTCACCCTCACTACCACCTAGATGAAGATGAATGTATCCTCCCTGTGGAAGGTGTCTGAAGATTATATATATCAGGATTTTGTGATCAAAAAAATTGTGTAAGACCTGTAGTATTTACATTTTTGTAATGAAGAAATAATTTTAATGAAAATAAAAATAATAATAATCATTATTATTAATCATTTCTAAATATTTGCCTTCAAAGATTTAAGGAGTTTCTCTCTTGCAGAACTTGCAAATAATATTGATTTTTGTATAAAATGTAGAAGTGGTCTACATTGGTTGTTTTCTCATGTCAGAAAACATAAGTGTGTAATGTATCATTACTCGGTTGTGAAGCTTCGCTGTGTAAGTGCTTCAAACCTAATAACATTCTAGAAATCATATAGTTGCCATATTTGAATGTGGTGTTTTAATAATATTTGGCATAACAGGTGAGAGATAATTGTAGATGATTCATTCTTATATTTATAAAGTGAATTACAAATATTTATGTAGTTTTGTCACTGTATAAAATACAGTTGTATATTGACATATGCCCCTGTGCCTCATCACTCAAGCGAGTCTAGAAAAAATGTAATTAGGTAGAAATGTTTTTAACTTTTGATATCTTTTTTCAATTATTCATATAGGTGTTGTATGAACTACCAAAGTTGTTTTTACACTTCAGATATTGTATAGAGATATTTTACATGAATACATTGTATAGTTGTTTTTATAAGATGAATTAATGCCCATTTCATGTCTATATATTAGCTCAGTTCTCTATATAATCCAATATTTATTGAATAAGACAATTAAGCTCTTGATCATTTTTTTTACTGAAATGCAACATTAATATTGTACCAGATATTATATGTAGAACAGAAAAAATACTGCCAAAAAGCAGGTTTAATTTTATGAGAATGAAATTTTAATTACATAAGCTAAAGAGTAACTTTAATGTTACAGGTAGTTCCTTGTTAGAATATGGATGCCTCTCTGTGGCTCCTTGTAATACTTGATCGCATACTGCTCTCTCTTCACGTTCACAATGCTTCCTCAGCTGCTCCTGCCATTTCTACTTTTTAATGTTACAAATATGACATTTAACATATTATTACCTTCAGTAGGTGTATATAAAATTGGATCACCACCCTACCATAAAACCTTCGTCTTAGCAACACTGTCTTTGCTCTCATCATTGGCTGAGGTTGAAGATGTGTATGTATCTTTTATTTTTTCTTTGTGACGATATAGGTCAGATGAGGATATTTTAGGTTAGGTTAGTTTTATTTTAGATTAATTTATAATACGTACGGGTTTAATTTACAGTAGCTACAAATGAAAGTCGTATCAGCGTATTACTTTAAATTTTTTATCCACTATAGGTTATTTTAGGGCATCATATTAAACCTCGCCTGTATCAAAATACAGTACCATGCATACATGAAAAATAAAACACCAAAAACTCTACAAGATATGATCAGTACAACATGTAGAATGTATTGAAATTTACATGACAACTTTAATTGAAAAATACTGTCCCTCAAGTATAATCAAAGTAGGAAAAAGTGGCAAAATACATATTTAGCTGTATTTTACAATTAAAATACATACAATTTCTAGGCACATTTGCATGCACAAGGCCAGGTTTCCACGAGTGCTAAGCAGACATAATAATAATAAGAAATTCTGCTATTTGCTCCTCTTTGAACCCTGGCATTAGCTACATTAAATTCAGCACTGAATTCTTGCCATCTTACTAATAACCTAATCTATCAGCCCAACCTAGTAAGGCATAGCCATAGGTTAATTAAAGCATTGTTTATGCTGAATCATACCAGAAAGGAAATGACAGTAGTAGTGCTAGATTTTCTCCAAACATACAAAATTCCAATCTCTGTTACAGTCATTCATACAACTGCCAGCATGTCTGAAAAATACTGTGGTACTAAAGCCCACAAAATGCCATGAGTTTGCCGATGTTGTTCCTTGCATGCTTATTCTCCGAACCTCATCAGAATGTACTCGGTTGAATGTTGCACAGCTGCTTTGTCTGGTATAATTCAACAACTGTGTTTTTATCTCAAGAAGTCATTGGTGCAAACATCAAGATACACTGAAACACATGCCGGTTGTCAAGTGTTTTTTCAGATACATGGTGGTCAGCCCATTTGGATGCTGTACAAGCATGGCTCCCAGCAGAATATAACGGTACTGATGACATATTGATGAACAACTAAATGCAGAAGCCAAAGGAGAGGCTTCTACCATTCTGATAGAATTGGAGAAACATGAAATAGTGATTCTATTAGTAGCATGGCAGGAAATTCTAAAAAATCAATTTGACAAGTTAACAGTTACAGAAACCATGCTGTTATTTAAATATGATAGCGAACTCACTTGAATTGTTGAGTGCATTTGATGACTATGAACAGATTGCGATTGAAAAATATTGTCACAATGAGTATCAAGACAATTGGTGACCATGTCTTAATTGGTGATAACTCTTGAGTTTAAGATCCAGCAATTCCATGCGTTCTTTTATTACCAAGTAATTGGTTTCATAAATCAACAACCCTATTTTCAGACCATTTTTTCCCAGGTCTCCTGTTGCTCTTCAATATTGTCTAAATACTTTATACAGAATACACTGTTTGCACTTGTGAATAGCTTCAAAAATACTAAAAGTATATATGATAAACAACAGAGCCCTGGGGCACTTCACTTGCAATGGCTTGCTCTGTTTTCTTTCAAATAACCAAAAGATTTATTGTTGCATTTTTCGCACTTATGAATAGCTTCAAAAATACTAAAAATAATACAAGCAGCTCTTTGTAAAGGCATGATTAGAATCCTTTATTAAAATATTTTCAAGATGTATGCAATTAGCTTTCGTGATTATTGATTCAAGTAATTTTCCCATAATAAATGTTAAACCAAATGGCTGAGAGCTTAATGCAAGTACAGTATCTGCACAAACATAACATTTACTTTGTTGAAACACAGTCCTTTCCCCTGATAATTGTCTCCATATTCCTTGCATTTTATTCATGTTTATCTTCTTGGACATTCCCTTCTTCTACCATCGTATTCACTTAAATGTGCTCTCCACTATTCTTTCATTGTTTGTTCACACATGACCAAACAGTATCAGTATGATCTCAATTTTACAATTTACTGACTTTTGTGCACTTTCCATAAAATTCTCAGTTCCACTCTAATCTCCTAGCCACTTTTTCAGGTTATCCACTTCTGTTCTTCTTATTCATGATTTTATATGCACTTGCCATATCAACATTACGTATGTATAGGATATGCACATGAATATCATTATGACAAACCTATCGGCAAGTCATCTCAGAGGAAGGATAACAATAGATTTATTGTGCCTTGCACCATTCTCCTAATGCTTTGCAAATAAGTCACTACTAAATTCAGGGGTTATAATCATTCTACTGCTACATTGCTTAAAAATCAGGTAAAAAGATTAAAATATATTACCAAAAAATGGATTAAATTCAGCAAAAAGTTAAATGGCATTACTAGATTGAAAAATCGAAATCCTAAACTGCATTCAATATTGGGCACTGTGAAGACAGTCATCATATGGACAATGGCATGTATACTCTGTGTGCGTTAGACTACAATTGTTTTTTGACAAATTGTTCTATCTATTTGTTTGTTATTGGTCAGCCTTCATTTCATTCACAGATCAGTTTTTCTCTAAGGCAGTTGTGTATGCTTATGTAAAATCAACCAACTCTTAGAATTCCTGAGCATTTATTTTAATTATTGCTTCGGTGGTATGATAATCAGTTGTTGAGTGTTTGGGAAGATATTCAACATTTGAAGTTACTAGTTAATGATAGAAAGGTAGATTGATCAGAGCAGTACAGTATTCTAACTTGTAAAACTTCAACTTTTATTAGGCAAAGGTATACATTTATAAATTAACCGTCTGTAATGGTTATTACGAATTAGTCAATTCCAAATTATTTACTGCATGAATGTGTATTCATGGCCTAAATTAAGTTTTGCCTCTAATAACAAGATACTTTATATGTACATTACATTATAATTATTGTTTGCTCATTCAGGATTTTATTAATTTGTTTAATTTTTGACATAATTCATATTGGCAATCAATAGGTTGTACATTTACCTTGTGGGTGTTAGTGAAGAGCCTTGTATGGTAGTGTGAGATTCTTAGTGCATACAAACCATTTTACAGGCATCAGTTTTACATAAAAATTATTTGCATATTCTTTTGCAATATTAAGAATTAAAAAAGGCTAATGTTTGAAAGTTTTACATTTTGTGATCATGGTCATTATACTTAAGATTAAAAGCTAAAAAATTATACCAGCTTGCTGCAGATGTACTATTATTTCTTGACCTTTTAGATAGAGAACAGTGCACCATCTTCATCTGTAAGATTATTTCCATTACATTAAATTTTTTAAATTAATCAAGGCTATATTTCGAAATACAGTGGAACCTTGGTTTATGAATGTCATGGATTATGAGTTTTTGGGTATATGAATTAAATTTTCTTGTAAAATTTGACTTGGTGTACGAAGCTTGTCTTGGAATACGAGTCATCTGTGGATACTTGTATGGGTCGAGCAGGTGGTTTGGCACGGCACTTTCAGTTTACCAGTGTATCCCGCCTAGTGACAACCGTGCTTGAATTCTTTGTTTAGAAATTCATCGTTTTTCTGCTTTTTTGATTTCTGAACATAAAAGTTCTTATTATAGCTCATGAGGTGGGTCCAGAGAAAGTCAGTAGTAAAGTTCACCCTAACAAAATAGTTGAGTAGAGGCAATAGAGGATGTCCCTTCTTCATTAAGAAAATGTGTAGTATGGGAAGAACTGCAAACTTTTGCTGAAAAGTCTCACCCAGATACAGCTGTAGCAGGCTGTTAGGTTAACCTTTTTAAAGACAATGTGATGTCTCACTACAGTACAGACAAGTGTCTATAGACAGATTCTTAGTAAGACAAGCAAGCAGCGAGCCACAACCAGGTCTTAGTTGTATGCCTGCAAAACGTAGGAGAGAATTACCCCCCAGAAATGGCATCACTGCCTGATGTTATAATGGAAGGGGAGTCCCATTCCAAAGACTAACACCTCTTCCTCCTCCTCACCATCTTTCATATGACAAAAAGAGTCCTCAATAAAGGTAAAGAATAGTAAAAAATATGAGTAGTATTCTGTATAAAATGTATTTTTAAGTTAATATTTTTGGGTGTGGGGGGACAGATTAATTCAATTTACATTACTGTATTTCATATGGGAAAATTTGTTTTGGTTTACGAACTGTCTCTTGGAACGGATTAAATTCATAAACCAAGGTACCCTGTATTATAAATGCAATCAGTACACGTAGCCACTTTAGTCCTATATTGTAAGTTTTAAGTCTTCAGTTAAGAACAATATTTCATAATTCTACCAAGTCAGCTTGGCATCAGTTCTGAAAAATCAAGAAACTAGGGTTTGGCAACAGAATTTTCACGTCTTGAAATTAATTGTTAAAATGTAAAATTAATGTAATTTTTAAATGATAATCCCATAAATTTTCATTAATTCACCAAGGTTAAAAAAATAATCCTATAAAAAGTGATATAGTATTTTTCTAAAGTATACTGGACCTCTTTACATCTTTGACATTTTCTAAGAGGTTATATCACAGTCCACAAAAAATTAAGAAAATAAAATCCTACCATACCTTCTGGTCTCATGTGGTGTTATTTCTGTGTGCAGATTTGGAACCAGTCCTTCTAATATTTTCCAAGTGTAGATTATGTATCTCTTCCACTTGCACACTAGGAAATCCAGATTTAAATTTTTAGGCAGTCTCAACGATTTAGATGTTTTACCGAGTGAATTCTAGAGGTATAGGATTCGGTACATGTTCTCCAGGTCAGCAATTTCACCAGCTTTGAATGAGATTGTTAGTGCGCAACAATATTCCACTCTAGATAGTACAAATGCCTTAAAAACTATCATTGGCATAGCATCTCTTCTTTGGATGGTTCTTGTTATACAACCTGTCATTTTTCTTGCCATAATTTTAGTGTAATTTATTTTACATCCTTTTATGAACAGCTTGAAACTAACAATGGTGCATGGCAACAACTAAGTCTATGTACCATGGAATGATGTACAATACATCTGAAATGTCCCAGTGTGATTTTACTTGTTAAGATTCATTTTCAATGAAATGAGAGCATCACTGTAGAGGCTATATATTTTCATTTTATTTAAGTTTCTGACAAGGGAGAAAATTTAAAGTATAACACATACTATCCAGTACTGGTATTGGATAGCCTGAAGAGTATCAAGTCAACATTTGGTCTAAAACTGCAGGTGATTATTTCATGGTGTGATATAACTCATATGAAAGTTTATATTTTGAATGCTTAATACATTTAAAACTACTGTATTGCATAAGCATGCTAAAGTTAGGTTTACCTATTAAGACATATCAAAGTTGGGTTTACCAACTGTATATAACTAAGTTATGATTAACTATTACAAATCCCTTTCATTTAGCAAGTATATAACAACATTACAGCACATTTATTTTTTGCATATATGCATTTAATATTTTACAAAATAAAAAATACAGTATATTTATTTTGTTATTGAAATTGCTTGAAGTGCTGACAGATTACCTTTACAATAACCCATTATGGCCTGCAATGTATACATTAAATAATAACACACAAGCACGTCAAGTGTGGAAGTACTATTAGTGCTGATTAAATCAAGAATTTAACCAAATCATTATAACATTTTAATACAGTAATTATAAATAATATACTGGTAATTCATAGAGGATATATGTATATATCCTCATATATATACATATAGAGGATATATGTATATATATCCTATATATGTAGCCAGTGTATATATATATGTTAGGCTCATATCTAAAGTCCCCCAAGGTCAACCTACCAACCTGTCCTCTTAAAACACTAGGGCTCCTAGAGCCCTTTACAACACTAGGTTTCAATCCTAAAATGTTTGCCTTTGTTCATTCATGATTGTGAGAGATATAAATCCTATTCAAGGCAATTTTCCCCTTCCAGTTTCAGTGATAGTATACAAGATTTGATGATAATACAGATATGATAATTCACGGGTCTATACTAGATTTGATATGTAATTTATTATCTGTAGTAGATAGCCCTCAACCTTTCCAATAACTATGGAAGCATAAGTTATGGCAGAAATCCAAGTAAGGGATGGGCTTCTGGGAGATGGGACAGATGTGAATGACTTGTTCAGCAGTGGCTTCTGCTAGGTCATTAAGTCATTAGCTTTGGGAATTTAGTGAAACTCAACTGTTCTATACTTGTTACAGATGATATACTGTAGAAAGAAAGTTCAATTTCAATGATGGCAAGGTTAATTTAATTAAATTCCAGAGGCATTAAAGCAATCAAGAGTTAATTACAATAAAAAAAATCATTGACATGAAATGTCTCTCATGAGTATATAAAACAATTACCTTACTTTACCTTAATCTCTAAGGAAGAGCATCACACAAAAGTTGAATAAGAGAAAATAATGAAGCCATTATAAATGTTTGAAGACTCCAGCAAGCGTATGCTATACTCTGAGAAAAAGAAACAGGTGGTTAAAATATGTGTAATAATTCCAACACCTTGGGTTTTGAGATTTTTTTTTTTTTTTTTTTTGAGCTATCTACAAGAGTTGTTACATTCTTGTACAGCCACTAGTACACGTAGCGTTTCGGGCAGGTCCCTGGAATACAACCCCCATGAAGAATCGTTGTTACAACCAAGTACACATTTTACTGTTGAGTTAAACAGAAGCTACAGTTAAGGATTTGCACCCAGTAAATCCTCCCCGGCCAGGATATGAACCCATGACAAAGCGCTCGCGGAACGCCAGGCGAGTGTCTTACCACTACACCACGGAGACAGAGACGGGTTTTATTGAGACAAATATGATTACAGCATATAAAATGTTGTATACCAGGGTAACAATTTTGTCTACAAAGAATCTGATGCAGTACAAAATAATGCAAGCTTTGATATGAATAAATGTAAATATGAAAGAACCTAAAATACAAAGGTTTTAATAAAATGGGAATAATAGTTAAGCATTTATTATCAAATGACTTATGAAATATAACACCAGACCAACCTGGAAGACAATTTTAACTATCATATTATATTTTATACATTCTCAGCTGTATCAATATACTGAACTTGAATAATTCAATTAAGTAAACCAACCAAGTTATCATATTCAAGTAGTCTTTGAAAATGCCTGTATTAAACCAATTAAGCTAATTATTGAAGTGTATTTTAGTCAGGATTTTACCTATTTACCATCTTTATGAGAGAAGTATCTTCAGTATAATGCAGAGCTTCTTTTGTGAAGCATTAACAGGACGAGGCATGACCACTGTTTTACTGGTTAGTGACATTTGGACAACCAAATAATGATGCCATGAAATTGTAATAGCAGTTGTAAAATGAGACCAAGAAAATATTGGATGGAATAAAGGGCATCCTGAATATTGTTCCTTGTACTGCTAAGGTCAACCACCAAGTCTATTTGTAATTTAATTTTAATATACATAAGTAGTTTTTTTTAAGGCACTAGGTGTATCACTTGAGAAATAATGTCTTAGTAAATCCTGTTTAAAATTTCACAAAACCTCATGATCAACGAAACCTCTTAACTGCTGTGCACTCACATGCAGTATCTCCTGAATATCTGAATGATGCAATATATTGGTGGATGACATAACAGTGAAGATTTAGCACATAACATCCTGACAGATTATGCAACAACGTTCATCAAGAGACGGTACATGTTTACTACCACTTCACACAAGGCACAAACACTGGAGGGCACTTACTGTGATTCACAACATAGGGCGACGTCATGGGCTTGTCTCATGGGATTTTTATTGATTTACTTATTTATATATATATATATATATATATATATATATATATATATATATATATATATATATATATATATATATATATATATATGTATATATATATATATATATATATATATATATATATATATATATATTTATATTCCTACATGAAGGGCACAATGACTGAATAATAAGAGATGAAAATGTACATATGCCACACGCTGGTGACTCAAGATATACACGATTGTGGCTTTATACAGTTGTCTTCATGGCAACAATGTTTCTTAATAATTCTTGTTCTTGCATAGTGTTCAATTATAAATAAGTGACTGTCCAGAAGGATAATATAACCTCAATTATCCTCAACAACAATATTCAATTGTAGGCCCAAAAAATATATACATATATTTTGTTTACATTCCTTAGAATTTCAGATGTAATGTTGATTGGAGCAGAACTGACAAAGATAGTACAAGTCCACAAGTAGAAACAAAATATACATGACTACATGGAATATATCCAAATCCATTTACCAAACTATAATAAGCTATTCCTTGCACTTACAAGATAGTGAGTCCAATAGAATAAGTATTTATTAAAATAGTTGAACATAAATGTCTCAAGATACTGAAGCACATTTTGTGAACTGGCACTGTGCTCAGCTAATAATATCTATCGTCTTCACAAACATGAATACTAATCACAATAAAAAAGTATAAGTGCTCTTCATGACCAATATATTTTACACAAGTAATTTTATGATTATTAACTAAGACTTCTATGTGGATATGACTGAAATGTATTGTATACACATGTGAGTGTGATTTATATATTTATTTATTTATTTATTTATATGAGAGACAACCACATGCTTTCCAAACACCTTGGGATCATAACTTCTTGTGTTTGATAATCTGGTTAGTTATCCAGAAAATCTAAAACAATTTGGTAGGGAAAATTCACCATTATTTTATGGTGTACTCATGAATATGAGAAGTTCTGGGTGTGGAAGTGTATAAGTTGAGATTGGGTGTGTGGGTATTGGCAGTCTCTGTGTGGGTGTCAGGAGAGGATGTTGGAAGTAGGTGTCTGGTGCCTTCCCTTCCCTTCCCAACCCTGGTGCAAGGGTTGGGAAGGGAAGGGAATTGTCAGGATAAAACACCAAGCTATTATGACTATATAGCACTTGGAAGGGATTAGGATGAAGATTTGGGATGGAACGGGGGCAAAGAATGGTGTCCAACCACTTTGACGGTTGGAGATTGAACACCGACCTGCATGAAGTGAGACCGTCACTCTTCCATTCAGCCAAAGTGGTTGACCCCAAGTGTTGGGACTGGGTGGTAAGAGTAGGCAGATGTGTCAGTGTGATACTTGATACTTGGTTGATATCTGGGGGTCTTGGTGTATGGGTGTTAGTATTGCCATGTGGGTAGCTGCATGTGTGGGTAGCAGCATGTACGGGTGTGGGTGAAGGCATGTGGTGCCAAGGTGTTGGGTGTGGTGTGGGAGGATGACAATTTTGTCAAGGGTGGCAGGTCTCATATGTCCCCAGTGAACAGGATCACGTGAACCCTAGCTCAGGAGGGGTCAGAGAGGGTTGGTTATGGGTGGAAGGGACAGAAGTGATGAGAAATGTGCTTAATAACGTGATGAATTGTAAATAGTACATATTTTTATTTGGTTATTTGTAAGAAAATAAAATGGGGCTTGACAATTTAAGGCATACAATGCTATATCATCCTACAGCAGGCATTAACACTTGTACAACCTGAGTTGGGGAAGGGGTAATAAACAAGAAGACATGTGATCATCCACTCACCTCCTGAACTGGATTTGGTTGCCTTCTGTCCAGTCTGGCAGTCTCTCCATCCTGTCTGTCCAGTCTGGCAGTCTGTGCAGCCTCTCCATCCTGTCTGTCCAGTCTGGCAGTCTGTGCAGCCTCTCCATCCTGTCTGTCCAGTCTGTGCAGCCTCCCCATCCTGATAGCCAGTCTAGTCTGATGACTTGTCATGCTTAACAGTCAATCTAGCCAGAAAATCTGTCCAGTCAATCCTGGCTGCAAGCATGTCTGTCTAGTCTGGCAGCATGTCTAGCCTGGATATTGTCTGAAAGGGTAGTTTTGCACATTTGGTACTCTGTGAAAACAATTCTCAGCTCAGGACTCCATTCTTCACCTTCGTTCTTCTGAAAGATCACCAAATGTTTTCACTACGCTTCCTGCTCGAAGTAGCTATCACAGACAACTTACCTGCATTTGTAGCAGACACGGTTTGCTGATGTTCGTAAATTATGCCAATGTATCAAAGAAAATTATGGGAATGAACACTCCAGTACTGCACCACAAACCAAAACAGACGCCGTGATGCCTCGTCACCTGTCTCACCACTTAATCGTTAGTTTCATTCAGACATTCCCTAAACGAATAACTAGCATATCCGCATAAGCAGTGTCGGAAAGCATGCAGTCGTCTGTGTGTACATGAATGAATGTTATGATGACCCTACCCATACTGGGCCATTCTCATGGGACTCGAACCCATGCTGCTCAGAATCACTCCCTAAATGTACATGGTACTGTGACCACCTCACCAATAATAGTCTATCATTTAGACTATAATTGGTGAGGTGGTCACAGTAGTCACTACCTCACCAGTTATCTATGGTTTGTGCATTCTTGCAGCCTCTCTCTCTCTCCTTTTATTTTTATATATATATATATATATATATTATATATATATATATATATATATATATATATATATATATATATATATATATATATATATATAGTTAGTGTATGTGTTATGCTTTTTAGACAGATACTGAAGAAGAAAATTTCTCTTATTATCTAACTTTTTCTGTCACTTGTTCTTATGTATTGATACATTCATTCAACACTTTCATGCATTTTGTAACTTTTCAACCAAATCTAACTTAGCAACAACTTCACAATCTAAATAAACTAATTATTCTTCCGTACTGCTCTCCTTTTTAAAAGTATGGGATGGGAGAAAAAATGCCTAACTGAAGTAAAATTCAAGCCATAGTAAATAATAACCCATTCAAATATATCAGTATTGTTATGTTTCTAAAAGTTACGCTCAAATAAATTGTGTAATGGGACGTGGCGTGCCTCATGTAGGACGGTTCTGCCTATAAAGCACAACTTTTATATTATACATATAATATATGCAAGACACTTAAGAACAGTGTTACAAGATATACACACACACTTAAAAGTCTCTTTTTATAGACTTCATAATCACTGTTAGGTTTGTACAGATCTAAAGATATAATAAAAATAACAGATTAATTTCACATACCCGATACACTCGTTGGTGTTCAAAGCTACCCAGTATACTGCTCTAGTTTTAATAGTGGGCCAAGCTAGAAAATAGAACTACTGCAAGAGCAAATTCTGCTATTAAATAATATCACATTTGAGATTTTCAACAACAAAACGTGAAAAATGCAGTAAATAAAGCTCTATTTTAAAGGAAAATTGTAAAACAATGATGAAAATATTTACAATTTGTTTACAAATATTAGATTCACATAATATTTGTTATATAAATGCCAATACAATCTTTCATATGGAAAAACATTAGTTTTGAAAGTGATGAGTTCAATTCTTCTACCATTTCTCAATATACCAAACACCTCTCGATTATATTAAAGAGAAAAAATAAAGTAGATTACCATTCATATAATATCAACACGTTACAAAATTTAATTATATGCACCTGCCATCTTTCAAAACTGTCCCCCAATATTGACCAGACCACACACTAGAAGGTGAAGGGACGATGACGTTGACGACATTCTCAAGTCAATTGCGAGTCATTCTCACAATCGACTTGAGAATGGTCCAGGACAGACCGAAACGTCGTCGTCCCTTCACCTTCTAGTGTGTGGTCTGGTCAACATACTTTAGCCACGTTATTTTGACTCATTGCCTGCACTGTCCCCCAATGACTCGAGAGCCATTCATTTCAAGTTCCCATAAGTATTACCACCTGTAGTGTACCAGACAATGCTTTAAAACCTGGAAGAACAATTCACTCTCTCTCTCTCTAGCCTACAACAACAAAAGTAAATAATAAACCATTCAAATCAAAAACAATAACTGCACCTGTAAAGCAAATGTTGCGTGTTTGTTTGCTACAAGTTAATTCCAAAGTGTCGTGTATGTCTAGTACATAAGAACAGTATGCAAAAAATACTACTATACTATACTATGTGTGTATATTAAAGATGAATAGTACCTCAGGATATTATCCAATAAGACCAAAGTGTATATTAAAGGTATTATCCACAAACACTGCCATATCAATGTAGTAATGATGTTTATGGTATATATGGTTATTATCCAGGAATACCACCATACCAAAGCAATAACATATGGAACATATCATCATCATCATCATCCTTAGATAATGAGGACGGTGAAAACAATGTTTATAGAGTCAATAGAGAAAAACAAAAAGACTTGCAATCCAAATTAGCAGCATATGGTCTAAATGGCATCTACAATAAATGCAAATAATAAATGATACATTATCTTTTCTGAACTAAAGCTTATTTTGAAGCAACCCACTTAGGTAATTACAGCAATTAATTTTAATTTATAACTATAAAGAAAACCAACAATATTACATTAATAAATTTGGCTTTAAGGTTTCACATTCAAAACTACTTACAGCTTTGAACCACCTTCTAAATATTTCATAGAAGTTTACTATTAAAATGTCAAAAACGTGCTTTTTACTTACGCAACAACTTCCCAAAATATAATATATATTTAATATCACAAATTCATAACCCCACACATTGTTTTATTTTGTTCAATGAACAAATTGTTACAGTATTTCCAGCTTTTCAGATCTGACTACACTCAATTTACACATCCTCATATTCTACTCTTCATAACAAACTTTTACAGAGTCTTTCCTTAGTAATCCCAATTAACACATTATAAATCAGAAACAAATTCTATGGACGTTTTGTTCAGTGTTTGAAAAATAAAAATCTGCCAATCAATTTCAATGAGTTGTGTAAGGCGTCTTAGTTAACAAGTCAATGACTATTGGGCATCACTTGTATCATTGAGAGGTGTGTCAGGGGTTGATGTAGTGTCAACTGCAGAGGCATCTAGAACAGCTGGAGCCTCACCGTTGCTTGCTTCACCCCCTTCGTAGAATGTCATCGTCTGAAACACACACACACACACCATTCTTAGAAATATTTAAAAAAATGCCATATATAAATAACAAAAAGCCAAGTATATGTCAAGGATGTAATACTACCTAGCCTTGTACAATAAAAATGCCATCAATCATTAGCCATAAAAACTAAATAATATAAAGGGTTCAACTTTTTTTAAGAAAATTAAATATACCATACCATACATGCAATATTACATTACTGTATCTATATTTAAAATGGAAAATTATCCTCGAGCTGTAAAAAGAAAATCCATCAAATTCATCAACGATTTGTACATATTACAGTATTCAAATAATTTTTGGAAGTACTGTACAGTATTTTATTATAACTTAACTCATGATTAACTAGAAAGACCCATTTACTTAAAGATTTTCAATTAATTGCAAGAAGTCAACCAAGGAAGCTACAGTACAGTATCTTGAAAACTTTCTCGGCTCAAATGTTGTGTACGACATGGAATATTGTATACATCGTCCATTGCATGCGTGATCCAAACCTAAAGTAATGTGCATCAGGCATAATATTATCCTACATTGCAGTACAATGACAAAAGTAATCCACATAACTTCCACATATTACACTGTACTATATGAGCTAATGCCATTTGTATACGAAGTTCAACTTAATTTGAGTATTGCCGAGACTTTGATTAAAAACAATAATCTCGCCACAAAATGCATCATCAAATCCAAGAGAAAGAGGGATACAATGCTCCAAAGAAATGCACTCTGCACACTATAATGTTATAATGCACATGTAAATCACAAATTACTATACACAACAAAATATGAACTCTGACCTCCATCCCCACACTGCAAATTTTTATATTTTATAACATTCTTTTTAAGCAGTGTAAATTTAACCTGTGGTTGATTCAGAGTTGTTCTACTCGTGCACGCTAGTAACCACTTGATCAGCCAGATTATTGATGCTTGTGACCCACACAACCACACAGTCAACATAACTTAGCTGAGTTGGCATATTACTGGAACCTATTTAGTTCTGCATTGAGGACATCTACTCTCATTCCAATAATACAGTATTTATTATACTGTACCGTATTTCATAAAAAATGATGAATAGAAATGCTTGCACGTTGAGATTGCATAGCTCTGAAATCCAGACCTTCATATAAAGAATCCAACTAATTAGAGAATAAAATCTGTCCACCAGATATCTCCTTCGACATTCGGACATCAGAAAAATATTTGTGTTCTGTGAATGACGTGGTGAAAGTCGGAGCTTAAGTTTATCACGCAATGTTTTACTAATCTTGTACTAAACTGTACTATAAATTGTTCCAGAGAGTTTGAATATATGAAATATTTTCAGCGGTAATCAGACTTTCTGTGACAATGCCATTTTCCTCGTACAGTAAATAAGCTGTCTAACATCCTGTTACTCTAAGCATTTTCACTACGTTTTCTTTGGATATAACATTATTTGTAAATTGAAGCCATGCAGTGCAACACAAGTAGTACATACGAGTACATCAGGTTTAGTCACACACCAATATATCAGAACTTGGCTGCCCTGGGTTACCAAAAAAAGTTAAGATATTAACATTTCATTTTTGCATATTTATTATTTATATGCATACAAAATCATTATACACATAATTACCATGTTTGAATATGCAGAAACATATTGTATAATGTGCTATAAGAAAAGAAACCCCTTAAACATTTGGTTATAGCCTAAAAGGATAATTATTTTGAAACGATTCGGATTTTGGAGGGGCAACTATACAGACTGGGCTTGTAACCCTACCCCAATCTGACCTCTGGTGCATCACTGACTCTCTGCTTCCTATTAGGTACTCTATCATTTATTTCAGTGCTGTATTAGGAACTATCTCGGTTTATAAATCCCCAGTCCTCCCATCACACTCGCATATTATAATTTATTTCATATATTTGTTAAATTATTTTGCATTACTTAATTATATTTACTAATATGGGTATAATAAATATCACAAAAGTATGTGTGTATATTTCACTGATGCATATCTTGAGTTCCGGTCCATAAACTAAATATATCTACCAATTCATGTTAAAAATATGAAGGCTGTAAATTCAGTTACACATATAAACACACACACACACACACACAATGGATAAGTTACAATAAAGGAAAGCAATAAAGTGAACTCACACGTCAAAACAGTCAGAAGACATTATTTTGAGCTGAGGTTGACGAGTGCAGCAAAGGGGATGTAAGAAGGAAGATGACCACATTAATGACAAATAATTATTCAGGATTACTTGCAATATAATCAATTTTCTTTACCTTGTTAGCTGGACTTCTTCATTCACTGGAGCATCATCATGAGAACAATAAGTTCACTAGCATTACTGACCCTACTCAACTGTGAAACTTTGACTGTGATAATATTGGTCAGATTATGCTCTCTCTGTTTTGGGCCTTATCAAGAATTACAGATAGGAAAAGAAAAAGACAACCAGGGCAATTTTTCCTGTAAGAAAATAATACAGCATAAGAAATATGCAGAGAAATCTAGCACTAGACTGATTTTCAACAAAATAAGACAGAAAAATGCAAGGAAACCAGAGCACTGAAAGGTGAAGCGTGATGGATTATTCTTTGTCAATATAAGCAATATATAAGCAATATAAGCGTGATGGTATGCAGGTGCACTTAATACAGTACGCTTATAACATTTCCCAAAAAAATCTATCTATATACCTATACTGTTTTAATTAATATATACATATACAATTGGCACCTCAAAATCTGAACCTCTATACAATGGATCTCTCTTAAAAAAAAAAAATCTGTCCCTCAGAGCTCCAATGCAAATTTTGGATTTGTCTAAAAAATTCAGAATGCCAAGCAAAGCAACTTTATGTAGATCGTATATTTTCCAAATTTGTGCCATTTTTGTTTTTTTATTTTTCATTCATTCAGTGGAGGTACAAGAAATGCTATTCTGCAAAAGGTCTTATTTAAATAGGTTCTAAAGATATTTAATTGGTGATCCAGATCATCTATTACCCATTACAAATTTATAATCCTACCTAAAAATGTTTTGGACTGTGAATGAATGGAAAAAAATAAAAAAAGTGAATGGGCTTGGATTGAAAAAGATCATAGTATTAGTGCAGGTGATGAGTCACAATAACGTGGCTGAAGTATGTTGACCAGACCACACACTGGAAGGTGAAGGGACGACGACTTTTCGGTCCATCCTGGACCATTCTCAAGTCGATTGTGAGAATGGTCCAGGACGGACCGAAACGTCGTCGTCCCTTCACCTTCTAGTGTGTGGTCTGGTCATCATATTGTTAGTATTTCAAGTTGAGTGAAATTATGAATACAGTATTGACCCATATCTCCTTAAATACCATTTTTAAAGGGGTTAATAAAATTTCATAGAAAATTTTGGCAATTCAGGCTGAGAAAATCAATGGGTCATTTTGTTAAAAATCACGTGAATGATCTTCATTTTGCAAGTGGTACGTTTTGAGGATTCCTCCTAGTTTTGGTTCACTGAAGGTAATTGGGGAAGCCACAACTCCCAGTGAATGGATGAACATATTGTATGAAATTAAAAAGTAATTTATCACCATGTGCAGGCGATGAGTCACAATAACGTGGCTAAAGTATGATGACAAGACCACACACTAGAATGTGAAGGGACGACGACGTTTAACGGTCCAGGACGGACCAAAACGTCGTCGTCCCTTCACATTCTAGTGTGTTGTCTTGTCATCATAATTTATCACCAATACAAAACTGGTACATAGCACAAAATTGAAGAAAGAAGCATGTTGCTAATAATTTTGGAACAGAGAAGGAAATAGCATTGAGAATAGACAAGTACACAGAAGAGGAAAAGATATTGGTGAAAGTTGTAGGTATAAACGAAGAATTTGCAATAAGAGAGAATGTCTGGCTAGAGAAGAATTAGCAGGTATGACAAATTGAGATAATGTTCCCACAAGGGTGATGCTACTACAGGGTAAAGCAGATACTAGAAGTGATCAGATATCCAAGACAATTACAGAATGATATAAGGGAAACTGTGGTCACTTAGAAGTTGCAGTTAAAGGAAGATAGGGTAACATTTGCAGCAGACTAAATGGATGACTATTAAGTAATGAAAATTATAACTTTTTTACAAGGTGTTAAGGCTTGGAAAGCTGGTGAAGTAAGCTGAAAACCAATCAATTAAATCAACAGGGGACAAGTGGAATGAAAGACCAAACAAGACAAAATTCATTCATAAAATTTGTATATGTTAACATACATGGAGTTTAAGAGCATCATTGCTAAGTAATGCAATAATGCAGAAAAGATGAAATATTATTGCTTTGACAACAGTGACAGTGATGACCCATTAAGCTATAGACCAAAATAATTGATCCAAGTAGCTGCTAATAAATATGGTAAAAATAATAATATAATAACAATAATAAAATAAATCAGCGTTGAATGTAATGAAACGCCTCTTTCTGTGGAGGCCTCGGTGACTCCCTGTTGCTAGCTGCACTAAGAAAGCTCAGCACTAAGTCACATCAGCCCTGGGAGCAGTCCGTCCTCTTTATAGCACATCACATTTTGACATATACTTTACCTAAGGCCAAAAACTGTCACAATAGAAAATGGAAGCGGCTCGCAAAATTGACACAATGTACGATTTTCTGCTCGTGGCTACTCTAGTGGGTTAGGTTAAGGCACTTTAGTATGACAGTTTGACATCGGGAATGCTGGCGAGAACAGGCTGCTGGGAGTCCTTAACAGCCTACTGGAGACCAGAGGTCAAAACCTGGCCACCAACACAAGAGAAGGGAGCAGGGGTCTCATGATCACCCTTACCATAGAAACAAAACACTCGGAAAGGAAACGAAGCAAAAGGACGGCAAGATTCACAGCCAGTAAACAATGCTGCAAACAATCCACACAGCAGTCATGTGGATTACCTAACAACTGAATGGAGTGACTACAATACACCCTATAGTTACAGCTGGCTGCCACCAAGTGGTAATGCAATGGGAGCTGCTAGCTTCCCATGTGAACAATGATCAGTTCAGAGCCTAAGAAAAGACTAACTGATGCAACTGATCAGGAAGATCCAGGGGAGCCACTGAGGCCCTCTCCTCCTCTCTCCTAAGAAAGAGGAGATTTCTTACATTTAATGCTGGTATTCTGGAGGTGTATGGTGACTCCTTGTTGCTAACATACCAGAGAAGACAAAGTGGGACATGTCAGGTGATGATAATCCAAAAACAGAAAACCTGAGGTCTAAAAATAAAACCCAACCAGTCCCAAAACCTCTGAGGAAACAGGATGGGTTATAACACAATGCAAGGGTGCAGGGACACTAACAAAAAACAATCTGCTACACCAGACAGACTGGATTTAAATTGTCGTGTGAAAGATCGGAGCTGGAAGGAAAAAGAGGCCAACCCGAGATGGCAAGAACACCCTAGGGCCAACGAGTCCCACACAGGGACCAAGAATAACTGGGACACCCAGTGAAGAGATAGGGAACGCAACCAACCCAGGGTCCACCCAAAATATAATGACCAATAAGAACCAAGAAGAATTGGATCCAAGAGCCCCAAAACTGGAGGGGTAGAGGGCCAAAGACCACCAACACATGGATTAACCAGAAAAACCCTACAATGTAGGACCAGGGCCAGGCTTCCAAGAAACTGGCCTCAAGAGAAGCTTAAATTGACCAACAAAAGAAAGCACAGGCAAGTACAGCACGCTGGAATGCTAAATAAATTAAAGGTAAGGACCAAGCAGGACACCCAGGCACTAGGGACACTGATGAACTGACACTGAATGCAGCACAAAGGATAGATGAAGCTAATAAGGGCATCACTGGCATGCCGTATGTACAATTATGCGAACCCTAGTACACTCCTTACTCAATAACCCCAAAACACCCACCAACTTTTAAGCTTTGCAGAGGAGTCAAAAGACACTTGCACTAATCAGGGTGAGACACCTTCCACAGAAGGCCAACCTCAATTGGGCAAACATCTAAACCTACAAGAAAAGCAACCCTGTAAGGGCAGGGGTAACATCAATGACTGCCTAAGGAAGGGCTACCATAAGCACACGCAGCTCTAGATGAACACTTTCCAAAGTCCACAGGACGGGTGAGGCTTAAGAAGGTACAAACAAATGGACTTGCCACAGGAAGAGAGTCCAAAGAGCACCCAACACTAAACTAGAAAATTTGGGACTTTAAGAGCAAGTGACTCAATGAGTAGTTCAGACTTGTCTGATATCAGGTGAAGGACTGATCATTGACAAGGCAAACTGGTAGCTCCCATGGTGCTGTAGCTTGAGGGTTATGACCTAATTATTGGCTGAATCATTTGCCAAGTTGTTTGTTGCATTCTTTGTCCACTTTCTGTGAGCCTTGCAGTTTCTGTTCTACTAAGCTTCTTTTCTAGGCATTTGCTTCTTTGGTTGAGTGATCATAAATTTCCTGCTCCCTGTGCCTCTGTGAGGAAAGTCAGATTTTGGCCTCTGGTCTCCTATAGGCCATTAAGGATGCAGGCGATGAGTCACAATAACGTGGCTAAAGTAAGTTGACCAGACCACACACTAGAAGGTGAAGGGACGACGACGTTTCGGTCCGTCCTGGACCATTCTCAAGTCGACTTTAGAATGGTCCAGGACAGATCGAAACATCGTCGTCTCTTCACCCTCTAGTGTGTGGTCTCGCCATTAAGGATGCTTAGGATGATGGAACTTATATGTGTAAAACTACCTTAGTGTGGCTAGTAACAGGGAGCTACCATTCGCCCCTTCCAGAAAATGCATAGGGTCAAGAATGTTAAAAGTTTGTAGAGAGGGAAAATCACCTGATGGTGATTTCCTGATGGAGTAGTTAAGCAACATCCCTGCCTAACTACTCTGTAGAAACCTCATAGTCTACCACAATAGCCAATTATACTAAGTAATAACACCCCATCATTCCAAGATCATAGGTGGGACACTGCCTCAAGCCACGAAGAGTATCCTAATGGTGTGTTTTATATTCTGCTATACTTTTGAATGCAAATGAAATATTTTGCAACAGAAGAATACACCCTTAATCCGATCATAGTCTTTCTTTGGCCACCATCTGTCCCAAGGTGGTGAGATAGTGGCTTGGAGCCTTAAAATCATGTCACAACAATGTATAAAGCTTATATGACTCCTTTTACAGCAATAAGTAGAACAATACAAATTTAAAGTAATTCTTTAAATTAGAGTCTGCAGTACTCACCCAAAGTACGGTATCAATTTCATCCACTGCAAGTGGATTTTAAATTATTAAAACTATTAAGTTAAATCAATATCCGGCATAAGGATAAAAAGTTAATGGTTTTCGTCACCTAGATACTTTAAACAACATCCTGGGAACAAAAATGGGTTAAATGATTTGCAGCTGTCACCACATGACTGTTTTATTGAGTAATCCATGAGCCTCTTGCAGTTATAATCACTACCATTTCTTAGTGTCATTTTAGGTGCACGATAAGACTGTGAGCGTGCACAGGAAGCCAACATTCTTTGCAGTCTTGTTATTACTTTTGTGTTATATTATAACTGTACAACTTATGAGCCACCAAATGCATTTGGTGACCTAAATAATCAATCTATCATCTCAACTAATGAATACCAGTATAATAATAATATATCACTGTGTATTTGAATGGGTAAATACAAAATAAAGACAAATGAATGCCTGGGACAAAAATAAACCAGGTAATATACAACTCATTTTCAAACAATTTTGTGGTAACATGAACTTTTAAGGCCAAAATGATCATGTCTCATCACCTATTTACATTATCTAACATACAATGAAGCAATAACAATGTGTATCTAAATGTGTAATAAACAAGAGGGGGAAAAAAAAAAGGGAGAAAAGAAGAGAAAATGTTTTTACGGTCAGCACCAGCTGGGAACAGATAAGCTCCAACAACACCTAACTTGCACACTTTGTCTAAATGTACAGCTAATTTCTCCGGCTTCTACATTCATCGCTGACCATATCTCAAATGCTCAATCAAATACTTTTCTCTATACTGTACTCAAATCCTGTTAGATCATTGATCATTATTCAGTAATAATACATACTGAATAAGTGGATTTTTATCAAATATCCTAGATCAAATTCACACAAAGTAAATATTAAGGTAAAATTATAATACTGTACAGTATATTGTAAAGTGACCCTTCACATGGTTTCAAAGGTAATACAAAAATACAGTATTAAAATATTTCACACAATTATTAAACTGCAAACACCTATTATTAACCAAACAAATATAAATGCCTTCTTTCATAAATTGTTGTACGGACTCACTATCACTCACCTCAGTGACAGCCTGCGGAGACTGGATTGATGGGTCATCAGTATCTTCGTCAGAGTCTTCCTCAGCAGACGAGTCGTTGGTAGGCGCCCTTATATCTGGAGGACAAAATATAGAAAATGAAACACATCTCACGTTACTAAATTTAAGAATACTACCATTCACTCATTCCAAAAAAGGAAATATGAGGAAAAAATGAGAGAGTGTGAGAGAGGAAATATGAGAAAAAATGAGTGATTGTGACTCATCGCCTGCATTTATATGCAGGCGATGAGTCACAATAACGTGGCTAAAGTATGTTGACCAGACCACACACTAGAAGGTGAAGGGACGACGACATTTTGGTCCGTCCTGGACCACTCTCAAGTCGATTGTGGGAATGGGTACAATCCACTTGAGAATGGTCCAGGACGGACCGAAACGTTGTCGTCCCTTCACCTTCTAGTGTGTGGTCTGGTCAACATGAGAGAGACACTTCTGAATTTCAAGTAAGCACATCAAGTATACTGTACATTGGCATTTTTTGAGTCCTGTCTCACATGTTTGGCATCACGAAAAGACTTCCAGCCAAAATTTTTAGTTATTTGCAACACTTCCAAATTAAAAAAATTAATAAATCATGCAAATTATTTCCCCCTACCTGGTTTAAATTATCAATATGTTGAATATTATGAACTATGAGACAGATTTAGTAAGAAGTGATTTGGAATCTAGTAATTTGAGAAGAAATTTATCTAATGTCATGTTTTTATGTATTTTTTAAATCTGGTAAAAGCAAATTATATCACATTTTTTGAAGAGTACATCAGGTAATGTCCAAGAACTAACCTCTTTCATTACTGCTGTCAGAATCTAGGGCCTTCAGGTCTGCAAAACCAAGAAGCAACACAATAGAGCATGCAGAATTTATCCACTAGTACCACGTTGAAGAAAATTTAACAATGTTTAAAAATGTTTCCAACGTAAGCAACATTCTAAATACCGTAGACAAATTACTTCAAAGGAACTGACCTTCGTTATTGCCACCAGCAATTGACTTCTTCGGGTCTGTAAAATCAAAATGCAAAATAATAATAATGCATGCAAACCTATTCCATCAGTCCTGTATTACTAGTGACAAAATTGAGAGAGACACTTAGCTAAGCATTATTTGAAATGACTATCCCTAAGAACTGACCTTCATGACTGATGTCACACACAGGATTCTTCAAGTCTGTGGGGAAAAAAGTAGCCAAATAGAGCATGCATGACCCTTAAATATTATCACTTCTAAAAGCAACAACAATAATAAAGTGTCCCGAGCAAGCAAGACTGACAAAAGTAATTTCCCGGAAGATCTTAATAGCACTGTAAAACTAACCTTCTTCATGCTTGCCACCAGAAACTGAGTCCTTCAGGTCTGTAAAATCAAAAAGCAGGACAATGTAGCATGATGCTTTGTAAAATGTTGACAGGTTGACAACAAGCCAAACTTGTAACACCACAAAAATAAAGAAGCGTACATTTATCCCACAATTACTATAACCAAACAAATTACAGAATCTTTATCTCCACATTTATGGTATCTAACCACAAAATAAAATACCAAATGCAAAAGAGAAAATTTAAGCCTTTCCCAAGTAATATTTAAACAGCTTTTGTATAGTAATACTATAGTAATTATTAGCTAAAGCCAGACCCTGCACATGAATTAGATGCTAAGTATTAAAACCATGTTTACCCAAGGCTTAGTACATCTTCACCCTCATAACATTAGTTAACTTTAGATTGCCGATTACCCTTGCCCCGCCCCCTCACCACTCTTGAGAAAAACACAATTAAGTCTACAAATTCAAAACATTATTTTGCAACTTAAAAAGTTTGAACACTAAAGGCCTTTTTTTTACAACAAACAAAATAATCCAATGCCAATAGAACTTTGAACACAACGAAGAAATTAAGTAAAATTACAAGCATAAAACATTTCACTTATTTTTAGGAGAAATGAAGCACACACAATATGTAGGCAAAGCAGAACTATTCTCATAAAATAAATGAAGCACACAAAAAATATAAGCAAAGCGGTATTATTCTGATAACATAAAACACACACACAGTCCTACTGATATAAAGACAAAGGCTCTGGCAGAGTACTGTAAAACCACCAAACCATAAATAACTCAAAGATCTCGCAGCACAATGAATCCAATGCTAAAGTCCACCACACTAAGCATCCTCTACAATACTTGATGTTAAAATCAAGGCCTAATATGTGATGTTACCCACATTCAAATACGAGCAACAAGCATGCACCTGTACATGCATATCTATTCAGTATGTGCATGTCTTTGTTCATATTGCATATAATATAGTTATTAAGTTTACATTAACTGATGAATGAATGTATTTAGGTAATAATTTGAAATGTAAATTGACTACTGAATGGATCGGCTACTTAGTGTTGAAGAACAAGCAAACAAAAAAGCACGTCACTCTGGTTATTTCCTGTAACACACGACATTCATTATTCCTCAACATGAAACAACATTACACAAAACTACAGAAGTCAACAAAAATGTCAAGCTTTTAAGTGTGGCTTGAAACAAATCACACTTGAAAGCCTCAGAGATTTGTGATTCAAAAACGTCCCAAACATCCCTAACCTAACCTTGCCCAAAATATATATGTAAATGTACAACACAGGTTGAATACAGCCAATCTCAAGACGAGATCTAATACAGCTAGCTCATCAATCAAATGAACATGAAAAAAACTGAATTGGTTCTGACTGTTCTTCATGTAGAAGACATAAATATCTTTAAAGGAAAAGGGATACATTTACTGATACTATTGTGAGAGCACCATACCAATGTCATCCCACCAAAGGGTAGGAGGAGGAGCATCATCGTCCTGATCCTCAGAAGGTTCCCCAAACAGATCACAGTTCAAATCAACGAGGTCTCCCTCAATGCTCTTTTCCACCAGAGCCGCCTCCTCCGAGGTACGACCACGACTCGGGCGTCGTGGTGGAGGCAAGGGGCCTAAGTTTTCATATGGATCGTCCATCAAGGCAATGGTCACATCATCATCATCATCATCACCACCACCACCAGACTCTTTGTCCTTCTCATCATCAAGTGGCTCTGAGAGAATGTCATCCATCCTACCTGCCACTGTAGACCACACAAGCCAGCACATTGTCATAAAGCAATCTAAGCAAAGGCAGCAAAACACTAAGATGAAAAACAGGCCCACTGCATATTTATATCTACAGTACCTCTGAAGCATGCTATTAAATTTCAACTTTTGTACTTCTTTTTCCACTTACTGAAATTCCCAGAAATTTATCTTATTAAAAGCAATACTAAAGCTACTTAAAAATGACTAGAATACCATACATGTTAAACAAAATCTAGGCACCAAGGATATCTTGATAAAGAAATAAATTGCCAAGCAGTTATTAATAAAAGAAACCATTCCCAAGCATTAAAACCCAATGTTCTAGAGTTAGTGCAGAGTGCCAGTGCAACAAAATATCCCCGAACGTACTTGAATTAACAGGTGTCGAGTTGCCAGTCTGTGATTGCGCCGAAGACATTTCATCATGGCAGGTAAGGCACACACGGAGGGGTTTGTTTGACTGGTGAGTTAGTATCACTTTCTTACTGGAGCATGGACCACACACCACTTTCCCACACTTACGGCAGTGGTGCTGTAAACAGTTTATCGAGTCACTCTTGGTTCCAGGTTATTAACACTATCTTGTTATTATATATGCCTGTCTTTCTCACTCCTCCCCTTAGAACCCTGCTTTCAAATTCACATGTGTCCTAAAATGATAAATAGATATATATAGTTTAATGTTACATTATCCCTGTTTGCTGTTAACACAACTAAACTATCCCTAGTAAAACATCTACTTTAAGGTTTCAAGTACAGTACATATATCCTGACAGTTGTCCACGTGCCTTTAGGAGGAAGCGGCTGAATGGCCTGATGTACAATTTCAAGAGTGGGATGCTCTACTGGACACAACATACTCATAGATAGATAGATAGATAGATAGATTATATATATATATATAGAATGAAATTTCCAAGAAGTTAAGCCAGGTAGTATCATCACCTTCTGAGAGTTGACTTATCTTCGTGTAAAGGAGTGTTGGCAGATACAGTACTGTATATGGAAAAAGACTAACATAGCTTTTAACAGAGCCACAGAGATTTTATAGGAAAGAGATGCTTTGACTGCATTTATTTGGACCTAAAAAAAAAAAAAAAAAAAAAGGATTTTGACTGTATCCTATATGCGATTGCGCGGAAAACTGGAACATGCTTTAGGAGTGACAGGAAGGCTTCTAACACGAATGAAAAATCATCTAACCGACAGAAAATAAGGGCAGTGATCAGGGGTTATGTACAGGAGAAATGTCACGAGTGGAGTATCTCGGGGTTAAGTTCTTGCACTGGTAACGTTCATTATTTAAATACATGACCTATCAGAAGGAATACAAAATTATATAAACAAGTTTGCTGATCATGCTAAGATAATAGGGAAGGTAAGAAATTTAGACAATTCTCATGCCCTCCAAGAAGACCTGGACAAAAGTGTACAGAGCACCACTTGGCAAATGGAATTGAATGTGAATAAATGCCATGTTATGAAATGTGGAACAGGAGAAAATAGACCACACACACAACTTAAAAATTATGTGAAAAAGCTTTAAAAAGTTCTGATAAAGAAAAGAGATCTTGGGGTGATTCTAGATAGAAAGCCATCACCTGAGGACCACAAAGAATATTATGTGAGGAGCCTATGCTACGATTTTCAATTTCAGAATTGCTTTTAAATACAGCACATGATGGTGAAATGCTAACAAAACTGTTCATAACCTTTGTGATCCCAAAGTGAGAAATATACAGTGTTTGTATGGCGCCCATATCTTAAGAAGCACATCAACTGGAAAAGGTGTAAAAAAAACATGTAGCTAAATGGCTTCTGGAGCTGAAAGACAAGAGCTACGAGGAGAGGTTAAAGGCATTAAATATGCAAAGGCTAGAAGATAAAAAAAAAGTGGTGATAGTATGTACAAAACAGTAATGGGAATCAATGAAACTGATAAGGAAGAATTCTTGAGATCTGGAACATAAAGAACAAGAGGTCATAGATTTAAGCTAAACAAAGCTGATGAAGAAATATAAGAAAATTCCCTTTCCCAGAGTTGCAAATGGCTGGAACAAGTCAAGTGAGAAGGTGGTGGAGGCCAAAAACATCAGTAGTTTCAAAGCGTTATATGACAAAGAGTACTGGGAAGACGAGATACCACGAGCGTAGCTCCATTCTGTAACTACACCCGTCTGCATTACAATGTTGGAAACCATGGATGTAGAGCAAGATAGAGAGATTTATGTAAATCTTTGCTAAACATGAAACCAATGATGAATTTGTTACAAAATGTATGTCAATTTTAACAAATCGCAATAAGAGCAACAAAAGACGTACCCTCCTGTTTATTAGTGTGAACTGGGTCTTCTTGCAGTGCATGCACACCTGTGTTTCACTGTCAGGCACCCATACAGCTGCATGTTTCTCCGCTGCCTTTTTGCCACCTGTTTGCAGTGCAATTATGATTTACACCTTATCTCAATCATAATTATTTCAGTATAAAAACACCAGTGAAAGAAACTATTTTCCTCCTCAGTCAAAATATGCTAAATCAATCAAGAGTAAAACATAATATTTACTGTATTTATAATACAGTACTATGTTAACTAATATTAATTTATGTTAACCAATGCAACCATTATTTAAATCCTAAAAAATATATTATTATTTAAGCAATCTATATTTATAAAAAAGAATATCTGTCTATCATCTTGAAACTTTAATACACAGTACTGTATACAAATGTCTTTGCAGTCAAAATAACTAATTCAATGTCTATTCTTGGTTAACATGAAAAATATATACTCCTCCTACATTACTTTCCATACTAAGAAAAGTTAAGAAAAATACTGTGCAACTATAAAATATTATTTAAGAAGATGGACTACACTTCTATTTAAGCTACCATTCACATGATAAGCAGAACTACAGACGAGCACAAAAGAAACAATTTTGTTGGATACTAACTTTTGCGTAGAAGGTCAGTGACGCATTTATTTATGTGTGCCATCCATTCGGCTTTCTCTGTAGCTGTGGCAGCGTAAACCGCAAATGATTTGGTTGGAGTCTTTATCAACCATCCATTTCGAAATTCTGTCACAAAAATTGTCATACAGTACAGTATTCTAAAACCTAAATACTATAAATAAAATTGCACAATTCTTATTAAAAAGGGAAAGAGAAAGTACAACTTAATAATATAGTGCTGAATTTTGTCATAAAAAATTAATAAAATATTAACTTCTTAAGAGCAAAAGTCTGAATCTAATGTATTTATTGGAACTTATTCAATTCTAAGCCATTTTAGCTCATCAACCAGATATCAAACTTTGGAATCTTTGCTTAAATAGTACATACGGCCAATGCTGAGGCTCGCTCATGTGCCAGTAACCCCACTACGGGCTCACCATAGCCCGTGCTACTTGGAACTTTTTGTTCCCAGTAGATGAATCTATACCAACAACAACAATGGCCAATGTTACGAAAGAACAATTCCCCACAACACAACCCATACAGATTAACAAAACAAGGAGAATTAACTTACGACCATCATCTTCCAGTGAAGAAAGCTGAACCTCTTCCAAGGGAATTATGTGTTGCTTGTTGTACTAAAAAATAAAACGTTAATATTAGTGAACTTTAACTGGCAGCTATGTCTCTCGACACAATAAGAATTTCAGAGAACAACATAGAGCTGTCTAGAGACAAAGTGGAAAAAAAAATGCTCAAGGAGCTAAGCCGGAACAAAGCAGTTAGTCCAGATGGAGTTTCACCATGGGTTCTGAGAAAATGTGCACCCGAGCTCAGCATTCCACTTCAACTGATTTTTCAGGCATCCCTGTGTACAGGAGTCATAGCAGATGTGTGGAAAAAGGCTAACATAGTTTCAATCTACGAAAGTGGCAGCAGGGAAGACTCCCTAAATTATAGACCTGTATCATTGACAAGTGTAATAGTCAAAATATGGACAAAATAATTAAAACGAAATGGGTAGAACGCTTGGAGAAAAACTATATAATAAAAGACAGACAATAGTTTTCGATCTGGAAGATTCTGTGTAACGAATTTATTTAAGTTTCTATGATCGAGTCAGAGATTTTACAGGAAAGAGATGGTTGGGTTAACTGCATCTATTTGGCCCTAAAAAAGGCTTTTGACAGAGTTCCACATAAGAGGTTGTTCTGGAAACTTTCATCTAATGCTTTTCATCTAATGAAAGTTTCTTTCATCTAATGCTTCTGGTCAGCTAACAATAAATAGGTACCCAGGGGGTAAGCACTTGTGGGCAGCATCTTGGAAGATGTCAGTAGTTGGCTTAAGGATAGGTTTCTTGTCCTTAACAATGGAAAAAACAAACCAAATGACCTATTTCAACAATAAAAAATTGGTTGATATCTATAAATAATGTGATTAAACAATCACTAACAGTAAACATTTGGTCTAAATATAATATAAATACTGTACTGTATACTGTATTGTGTTGAAAGAAATAGTGGTCCTCAAAGCAAATGAAAAGTATGCAATGACGAATTCTTCACCATAACCATTACAGTTGCCCTATTCTAGGGGCAGTTACCAAATGTAAAATAAAAAAATGTGATGCTTAGGCCTAAGTGTATTTATACTATTTATAATTAAAATAATTCAAGTTTACTGTAGATAATAAAAAAGTAATAAACTGTACTACTATTACTAAAAAAAGGGAACTTACCTTCTTTTTATTGAGCACAATATTGCCATATACCAATATGTCGTTAAAAAGGAAAAACTGTCGCGGTTTAGGTTTCTTTCGACACATCTTCGTAAGCACGCCCTCTCCGACCAAGACACGTCCTGGCTCATTAAGCGATTGTCCTGAAGTCCCAAAGCAGGACTCAACCATCGCAATGCGCCGAGCATTTGCCTCGCTGTTCACTGCAATGTTTAAACATGTTTCAATCAAATAAAACAGTAATGTATAGTACAACATATTGATAATGTATTGCAATTCTTATTTTTTTAATGAAATCCCAGTTTCAAGATACAGTATTGTACAGTACAGTATAATTAAAATTTGCAAGCTATAATCCGAGTTAACAAAAATTGATCTCTCAGTTTGTGCGCTCAAACTTGTAATTCCCAAATTATGAACCCTAATTAAAAAAAAGTAGGTGTGTAGGATAAAATAAATGCATGTAAATAAATATTATTTCTGAGCACAAAACTTTGGATACTCCCACAGCCAGCTCCAATTTGCTCCAACAAATTAACCAGGGTCAGGATTCATCATGCATTTACACAACCACTTGTACTATACAAGTTATGCATCTTTTCTCAATCATGTCCACTTTGTTAACATTTGTTAAACACTTTTAAGTTTTGAAGCTTGTAGTTGTTATTGTTATAAACAACCTTGTACTGCTTTGGAACTTTTAAACTGTTTAATAAATGCAAATAAAGCCTATCCATATGCAACTAGCCAATACAGATTACCCTGATCATCAACCAACTTGGTCACTACCAATAATTACCACCGGATGGCAGCACAACTGTTAAGCTCTCCAGGTCAGCTTTCCCCACATTCTGCCTGAAACCTAGGCCTGTAAAAAGCCACACCAAGCACAGAGAATACAAGGAAGGAAGGTTGGGAGAGGAGAGAATTAGAGTGTATTGCTTAGAAAAGGACTTTTCATATGCATTTGAAGCTCAATATCAGAGTTATCCCTCTCAATTGCTCCCTATGGCAAGAGCTGGTAGAAACCCTCAAAACTGTAATATGGGCTGTGATTCATACGTCAGGCTACGAGCAGCTGCGTCCAACAGCCTGCTTGACCAGACCACCAACCAGGAGGCCTGATCACAGACCGGGGCCGTGAATCAACGGAATTCATATTCCGTTGACCCTCGGAATCAACGCAATAATTGATTTGATTTGATTTGGGTAATGCTCAAATAATTGTGGGGAAGGAATGGTAAGAGACAGCCGCTACACATTACAACCCCACCCCCTTCACACCCTACTCCACTACAAGAGAGGAGTCATTATGGTAAAAGCCTGCCCAAGACAAAGCCTGAGGTGCAGGTGGGGGGTATATGGGAAAAATGGCAAAAGACTTATTGACTCATACAAGGCAACTCCATTTATATCCACCCAAGGTCATGCATATACAATACTGTATGTATGTAGCCTATGCTTTAAACAATCCAGATATCCCACATCCATTATGTTACCTGGTAATTTGTTCCATAAGACAACAACCCTATTTCCAAACCAGTATTCATCAAGGTCTTTGCCGAATATAAACGTCTCCAATTTATATCCAATTATTCGAGTTCTATTTTGTATAGATATTCAACATTTTATTTTATGTAGATATTTTTAAAGAATTCAACACTTTCCAATGGGCATATTAATAACTAAATTTAAAAGCTTATTTATATCCCTTTGTTACACCCTTTGATCCATTTATATACAGTACTGTTCTTCACTCAAGTCGACCCATACTCTTCATCTTTCTAAAGAATGTACCAGTAAATTAAGCTTTCTAAAACCTTCTTGAACCTGCACTGGTATAAGAGATTATTAATTCCTGGGGTTAACTACGGCATCCTTCTCTGTATGCGTTCAAGTGAATTTGTGTCCATCCTATAGTACACTAAATGTCATTAAAAGTTTTTAAGTACTGGGTACTGAATACTTTGATTAGATGGAGCATGAATGATAATACAGCGGCTTCCCGACACTTGGCCTCGGTGACAGCTTGGATGAACAGTCCTCGCTTAATGACACATTTGTATGTTTCACTGAACAGTTTGTACCAATACAATTTGTTCGGACCATCCAAGAACTCATTAGAGCGGGGTTTGTGAGGATGCAGTGTATTAAGATTAGACTGTACTCGCTAAATCAGGAAAACCATAATGAAAGAGCACCATACTCTCTTCAGCCACGTAAAGCAATAAGCAAAACATTGAACAAATTTATATTATAGTACATGAATCAAGCCTACGGTAACATCTTACTATCATGTAAAATATGGCAAAGAGAAACTAAAGAGAATCCTAAAAAAGTGATTCTTCCAAGTGGTTTTACAATTTGAGCAACATTTGTAGATATTTAATGCATTTTTCATTGCCAGAAAAGCATAACTCACCACTTGATATGTCCAACCTGAACATCGGCTGCACAATATTACCTTTCAAATTATACTCTAGAGGAGCATAATCTGAAAGATGATAGTCTAGCTAATGTAAAGATGCTTAATCAAGCTTATGTAAAGTAAACCACTTGTATGGCAAAAGGTATTTTTAACCACAGGCATAATGACATTATTATTATAAACATGGTGACAGCTATCCTTTATCCTCATGCCCATTTTTTTCAATAAAACTAAAGCAAATGGCAGTATTAAAGTTTTTGACCTTTTTATTTAACAAGGCATTACAAGCTTTTGCACACAAGTATGCATCTTCATTAGTCAAAATGCCCTCCTCCCAATAAGTGGTCCTCACGCCCACAGACCCAAACTGTGCAGCTCCTTTATATCACAGGAATCCATGCAATCCTATCCAAATTATCTATATGTGTAAGGCTTCATGTCCTCTTGAATCATCTAAAACTACACTACTATACTCTTGTTCCCGCATAACATCCTACAAAAGAATATCTTTCACATGTCAGCCAATACAGTGGTGTAAATTTTGAAAAGAAACCAAGGGAATTCTATACAAGTAAAAGGGGTTTATTTATGTTCTACAGTAATATAACTCCAAGGGAACACCAAGATTAAAACACTACATATAACTTACTGGTTCCCAAGTGATGTTTAAGACTCAATGTGTACACACTGGAGTGTAATGGTGACTACCACACACTTGGTTCACACACTCGTAAAGGCCACTGCCAACCCACAGTTGAAACAATGCAGCAACACCCCCTGTCTCCCTCTACACCCAGATGCCAAGTTTCAGAATTTATACACATTTTCTTTAAATACATCACATGGATATTTAGCCAGGGCAAATACTGAATTCAGCAAATGGTGAATGTGTGATAATGCATAGTTATGTCTTTCACTAATATAATAGTAATAAGCAATATTAAAAATAAATAGCAAAGAATCACTCAAATAAACTTGGAAGACTGGCACAGGATGACACACTGGAGTTGCCATATCACACACAAATACTCATGCCACTAATATCACCAATACTCTTCATATAATTTGACAATTTCATTCACAGAATGGCATCTTCTATACAGTAGTGCTACTGTATTTATATTTAAAACAAATAAAGCCACAAGAATAACAGCAAATTCTAATAATGGACCATATGGCAGGAGGTTACCTCCCACTCTTGTGATAAGGCACTCAGTGACTCATTCAAGTAATACTAGATAAACAAGCAATAACGTAGAACCAATAACTTGCTGCCTCCTCTCATTCCAAGGCAACAAAACAAAATACAGTACTGTACTGTACTGAAAATATTGCACTTTACAAACCTGTTCTATGTTGTCAAGGACCAGGCACTTCTCAACAAATGTAACGCACATTCTTATTATAATGAGTCAATTAAAAGTTTAAGAGTTGAGTTGGTGTACAGTAGTCATGTGTACAACATTCAACTCCACAGTGCTTTCACTGTGGAGTATCACTTTCCCAACTTTAGTAACAAGTTAAATACTGGCTTGTATCTAACTTCCCTATATTTATAATGATTATATTTAGCATTACAGAAATATAGTACATTGTAACACCTTCTTGTAAGGATAATAAGGATAAAAATATAAGCACTAATATGGTTGTAGCACTATGCTGCACACGACAGGAAAGATTCTTGGAAGGGAATAATTTATAGGGAATAGTTGAGAAGATGAAGAATGAGTGCAAAATATGATGATATAAAGTTTGAAATAAGTAATTATAAAAAATAAGGCATTAAGCCAGGAAGTCTTTTAAATAGGAATTTGCCGTAAAGATGGCAGCAAAAAAATACATAATACAGTTTAAAGAAATTGTATGTTGCATTCATGCACCTAGGAAAATCTATGATAAGAGTTTATTGACAAGCTTAATGGAAAGATTGGGCAATATAATGTGCTGAAGGGGAGTTACAATAATGTAATGAAATAAACAATCCTTTTATATACTGTAGAAGCACAGCATGTGTAAATGCAACTGGGAGATAGAACGTTACAAACTGGATTTTAGCATAGAAATAATATGCAATATTCCCACTGCAATTTAATATATATTGCAGTGTATAATATAGTGTACAGTATACGGGCAGACTCCTGCCCGAAACGCGTTGCGTAGTAGTGACTTTAGGCACTGTATGTACTAGCTCTATCTATAAATCAATCAATTTTTGTAAAATCTCTTGTATGTACCTTAGCTGAATAAACATTTATTTATTATTTATTTATTTACTTATTAAGAGATGAACACGAAGGTGGGCCAAGAGGGAGAAAAGCTGGAGCAGGATGGAAGGATTCCGCTCCTGCTGACCAGTCTGCTCTACTGTGGATGCTGGTGAGAACACTACACAGTCTTCAACTAATATGTATTGTATTAACTCATGACGGCTGAAATTCTGGTAAGAACAAGGTAAATTGTTTCTGAAATTAAGTGATAAAGTAGGTCTTGTCTTACCCTTCAGAATATACAAAGAAAATTTGATAAGAATGTAGAATTAGAATGAATGAAAAACTACTGGGAGAGGTTATAAAATTGAAATGTTTGGAATCATTGGAACAATGGAGGGAGAAATACACAAATAATGCAATGGATAAATATGACTGGCTCCCTACAAAAGGATTATGAAAGGACAAAATTAATTTTGGATGTTATGTTTATAACTGTGCAAGTCTGAATTATGGATGTAAAGCATAAACAAGAAATGAGGCCAATCTAAGATTTAGTGTTGACTATAGCATTCATGTGGTTATGTAACGGGGGAAAAGGAATATGCTTTAATTATTCATGCCCACCTGTGGAGAACACTCATAAGTTTAATGCCAGAAAAGCCAGAAATGGGAGGTACGGATTAGGAGGGTAGCAACAGTGCCAAAGATACCTAATAGATAGATTACAGACTTTAAGGGACTACAGTACAGGATAGGGAAAAATTATGGGGTACATAACCCAAAGGACAAGACAGTTGCAGATTGCTTCAGGTACAGGTCTCATAACTTACGTCCTCTAATTACTCAACACAAAGCTGCTATTAGGACAATATCCAACTCTGGCCCCAGACATCACTCGGTACCCCTACTCAAATCTCTGAATATGTTAGACATTAAGTCACTGCACATTCACTCATGTGTATTATACATATACAAAACGCTAAATTGTAATGCCAATCCTGATCTCAAAAGCTTCATAGAAGGTTGTAACAGAACCCATGAGCACCACACCAGAAATAAATACAGTTTTGATATTCCTAGAGTACGACTTAATCAAACCAGAAATGCTCTACAAATCAAGGGGCCCAGGATGTGGAATGACCTTCCCAACCATGTTAAAGACAGTACCTCTCTCAACCAGTTTAAGTTAAAAACGAAGCTATACCTAATAAATTCCCTGTAACCTACCTTACCTCTCTATTGTCAACCCATGTATGTTTTTTGTTTTTTTTTTTTGTTTTACAAATCAACGCTGTTTTAATGTAATTTTCTGTAATAATTTGTAATTGTATTTGTGCTGTTTTTTCAACAATGTTCCCCCCTCTTTTACCTCTATTTTTATTTGTACTCAACGCATTTTTTTCTTTTTACCCATTAGTTATAAGCTTTAGTCAGTAGTGTTTTTTCCTGCCCGAAACGCTTTGCGTAATAGTGGCTTTAGGCATTGTATGTACTAGCTCCTATCTATAAAGCCAACAAACTTTGTAAAATCTCTTTATGTATGTACCTTTGCCTAAATAAAAATTATTATTATTATTATTATTATTATTATTATTATTATAATTAGGAATTAGGTACTTGGAGGCTTTTATCTGAGCCTACCTCACAGAGGGAAGTCAAGTTTTATTACTACTGTAATATAATATTTGTATTAAACAAGAACAATATATAATGGATATATTATGGGGTCTATATATATCCACTATTTTTTACATGGTCACTAATTATGCATTGTTTTGGGAAAACCCTAAAACTAACAAATAAGATCATGTCTGGAGAGAGCGGGTAAGTTTGTCATGTTGGCAAGTTTACTAACCCATTGGGAGGGGTTACAGGAACCACATGCCCTGGGCAAGTGCCCACCAAACTAGTGGTGCACCATAGAGAACTAATTACAGTACACTATTGTCACAAGCTTACAGCAAAATCATCAAACATAATATAGAGAGGAGAAAACAACAAAATCTTATACTGTACTGTAATATAACAGCTTGGACTTTTTAATACATAATTACATATAACAGAGTAAGTACCATATTAGTGATTTCTGATATATATGTACTGTACAGTGGGGTTTTCTCAGTACTGTATTTATTAGTGTGCAGTTTATGTTAATGAATAAGATGGGTGGAGATAGCAGGCCAAGTGTTGTGAACCCACATGTTACCAAAGGTCAGAGTGAGTAGCCTTATCTGTCTTGTATTCACTGCATATTGAATTCAGTGCATTTCAGTGGGTATGCACAATGATCAGACCAGGTCAGGCGTTGCCGCGGCAACGAGGTCGCGGGGGCTAGGTCTCAAAGATGTCTCAAAGATAGACAACAAAACATCACAAGGAATGTTTGGTTAAAATCTCAGGTCAAGAACTTCAATACTAAAGCATTTCCCTAACCCTTAGGTAGCAAAAATTTCAAAAGGCAAAGAATTTAGGGTTAAAATGCAAGACAACTTAGTAAACTAAAGTGTCAAATCAAACCAAAACATGTGTGCAGAGAGGGAGAAGATTGTAATTTTGAAGGCCAGCATTTCACAAAGAATTTATAATTTGTTTACATATCCTGTACCTTGAGGTGTTTCCGGGGCTTAGCGTCCCCGCGGCCCGGTCGTCGACCAGACCTCCACCAGGCCTATAGTATCTCCTATACCAGGCTTATAGTATCTCTTATACTGTACATATATTTTGTACACTGCTATATTTTTCTTTTCTAGCATACAGTATAACTGATTTATAAACCCACACCACACTGTATGCTTCAGACATTCTTAAAATATGCCAATGATTAGACAAGGCTAGGATAGGTTAAACTATGAATAAAAATCAGCACTGTATTAAGACATCTGCAGTACAAGATAACCTGTATTCCAAAGCAAGTGAATCTAAAAGTTCATCAATACAAGTTCAAAAAGCAGACACAATATTAAAATGAATAAATAAATTTATATGGTATAAAGGATTATTTTACAGCATTAAAGAGTTTAGCAATTAGATGGAGCATTCTTGCAAAATCACTAGCATCTTGGTTATCTTGAGGTTATCTTGAGATGATTTCGGGGCTTTTTAGTGTCCCCGCGGCCCAATCCTCGACCAGGCCTCCACCCCCAGGAAGCAGCCCGTGACAGCTGGCAAAATAGGTTCCCAGGGTACCTATTTTGCTGCTAGGTAACAGGGGCATAGGGTGAAAGAAACTCTGCCCAGTGTTTCTCGCCGGCGCCCGGGATCGAACCCGGGACCACAGGATCACAAGTTCAGCGTGCTGTCCGCTCGGTCGACCGGCTCCCTAAAGCATACATGGCATTTCGAACAACACCCAAGCACATAGCATATTATAATATTTTATAATGCCTTGTGCCACATTCATGACTTTGTGCATTTTTAGTGTGCATTTTTAATGTCATGAAAGTTTTGATAAAGTATATAACTGTACACTACTCACAAAACTACTAGTAAGTATATACATACTGTACAGTACTGTATACTTTTTTGGCAAAGTCAATCTGATTACTAAAGACATTAATTAATACACTAAACCCTTTGTTGATGATTTTCTAGACGT